ATGAAGTTTGGCCTCCGCGCCCCGCGCCCCCGACCAAACTCTTATTGGTCGACGATAAAAAAAACTCTAACGACTTAAGGGGGGGGGGGTACATTATTCTTGTGGGCATGGGGTTAGGTATACAGTCAACCCGCATGAAAAGGATGGGCAGCCTTCCCGAGGGCACTCTTGCATCCTTGCCCCTTCGGCCCATGCTTGGCCACTTTCGTTGGCCAGCCTCGTTCGAGAAACGTCCACATGGGCCTTCAAGGCCCTTGCATCCTGACCGCACATCCTTATGATACGGGTTGACTTTATCGCGAAGGCCTTACGGCCGGTGCCGCCGACCCTCCGCCGAATCCGAACCCGAATCCCACCTGCAGGGTGGGCCCTCTCCCGAATCCGTGCTTCGGTGCGGATCGTCTGCGCGCCTCGTCTCCGTCGTCGTCGTCGTCGTTGTCGCCAGCGTCGTCGTGGCCGTGGTGCGTGCTGCTCTGCTCGGGACTTGCTTCCCGAATGCAGCGACCACCACCTTCCGCCGGCCCGGGTTGGGGAGCTGCTGTGCGACCCGCCGGGCCCTTCGGCGCATGGCCTCGACTGATCTGGGTCAGCGCCGGCCGGGGCTGCGCAGCCAACGATCACCAGAAGGGTTGAGTGCCCGTCGGTCGTTGACGGTCGGTGTTTTTGTAGTCCCAGACCCCAATCTGTTTTAGGCGCCTTCCTGCTTCAAGGATCGAGTGGTTTCCCTCTGTCCTCTTCCTCAGGGGGCGCGCGGAAACCCAACCTGCTTCCAGCGCTTTCCTGCTTCATGTTTTTTGCCTACCTTTGCCTCCCCCTCTCTGCGGCCGCCTGCTCTGTCCCATTTTCCCGCTCTTGCATGTTGGCCAATTCGCTACAACGGTGCCCCCGTTGAGTTAGCTCCTTCGCTCCTTTCGCCAGCGCAGACGACCCCTGCCTGGCCGCCGACGCAAAAAGTTTGTACCTCCCTTCTCTTCGACCGACGTGGAACTTTCAGGGCGTCCTGGCATCCCTGCTTCTCGGTCCATGGGCTTCCGGCTTCGGCTTCGAGTTTGGGCGTCTCGGGCCCCTGTATCCTTCAATATTCGCGCCCGCAGGAGCCGGTCGCTCCGTGTGCCTCGTCCCCGAGCTATGATCAGGAGGGGAAACACACACAGACACAATTAATCGTCGATTCCCAGGAACATACGGGAGAATGTGGGAAGTGGGGGCGAAGAAGAAATTTATGAACTTGTGTCTATTTCTTTGTGTGTCCCAGGGGCCCTTCAAATGAAGAACACCGAGTCCTCTAACGCCTTGGAAAAATCAAGGCAGATCTTCACGTTTCGCCGTTTTCGGTGTCTGGGGGGCCGTGTTCTGGGTCCTGGGGCCATCGGACAAATAATGATCTGGGACGGACGACTTGTCCTTCGGGGTCCAGACCCCCGACGTCGTGACTTTTTCGCAACGTCGCTCCCCAGAGGTCTCGACCCCTGCCCCAGCACCGATTTTTCATCCCGAGTCGTTTTTTGACAGTCCCAGGGCCCGGTACGGGCTCCTGGAGGCCGAACATAGCGAACAACCTCCAGTCGCGACTTTTTCACAACGCGAGGGGGTCTGAGGAGGGAGATCGAGAGGTGATGTGGCCGCGTATTGATTCGCCGGCCGAACGGGCCAGAGGCGTGCTAAGATCTCCGCTAACTGGTTAAGGTCGGCGCTGGCGTCGGCTTGGCGTGTTGTGCACCAGGATGCGTGCACATATCTCACAGTCAGGGTGCTTGGGACTGTGAGTGATGCGATGTAATTCGTCGATAGATGGCCGCGGTCTGCCAGGTAGCGTCGCGTCACGAGTCGGCAACGCAGATGCGGGTGTGCCCACCGGCGCAAATGCGCCAGACGTCGTATCGATCTGGGGTGGCGTGGATGCAGGTGCGTCCACTGGCGCGGGAACATCCGAAGGATTTTGGCCTTGTCGCCTTTTCGGCCATCCGATGCTCCAAGACGGCCCAACAGGCTCCCAAGAGCGCCCCAAGACGGGCCAAGAGGCTTCCAAGAGGGCCCCAAGAGGGCTCAAGAGGGCCCCGAGACGGCCCAAGAGGCGCCCAAGACGGCCCAAGGCGGCCCCAAGACGGCCCCAAGAGGGGCCCAACAGGGGGACCACGAACCGAAAACTCGAGCCTTCCGCCACAAGAGGGCCCCAGGAGGCCCCGAGAGGCCCCCAACAAGAGGCCCCAAGATGCCGCCAAGAGGCCCCCAAGAGGCCCCAGGAGGTCCCCAGGAGGCCCAGAAGAGGCCCCAAGAGGCCACAGAAGGCTTCAAAAATGCCTCCCAGGCGCCCCCGAACGGCTTCTCAAAAGACCCCAAGAGGCCTCCCAAAGAAGTATTTTGACAACGACCCTGTTTGGCCCCAAGAGCAACACAAGATGCCAACGAGAGGCTTCCTCCTCCGCCCCTTCCTCGGTAAGATGCGGTAAGCTAAGCTAAGCTAGGCTAGGCTACGCTCAGCTATGCTAAGCTAAGCTAAGCTTAGCTGAGCTAATCTAAACTAAGGTAAGCTAAGCTAAGCTAAACTAAGCTAGGGGAACCCAGGGGGCGCAACTGGGGGAACCGCGGGGCGGGGACTGGGGGAACCGCCCGGGGCGTTTTACACTGCCCGGCCCCTTTAAGCAAACAAAGTAAGAACCCTCTAGGCAGAGCCTAGGTAGGGAATTAAAACACGATGCCCGAGGTTATGAGTTTTGGCATCGTTTTCGGCGTCTCGTCGGGCCCCACCCCCCCTGGGGCCATCTGAAGACGACCCGAGGCCACCCCAGATGCCCCAGCCGTGGTGCACAGAGCGCCCGAGGAAGAGGGGGTCCAGGGACCCAGACCGCCGCGCGCTTGTGAAACACATCACTACGGGATGCCCTTCGCTATTCTCGGCCTCCGGGGGCCCTTACACCGTAGGCGATGCTTAAGAAAACTTAAGTTTTCGGCCAGAGTCCCGATTATTCTTAATGCTTCAATGTAAGTCCTATGATTTCAATAGAAATTCTGGGTCTTTATTCAAATTCTGAGACTCTGAGTTTCTTAACCCATGATTTCTTAAGCATTTCGCAGGGTGTACTGGGCCTCGCGACCGTCCACAAAAACGACCAAGGACGAGACACTGGAAACGGGGAAGGGGTGGAAGCCTTTGGGGATCGAAGCTGTGAACAAGCCACGACGTCGGGGGTTAGGGGGATAGGATGCCGTTCTCGGCGCTGTCGGCTCTTCTGCGTGCCTCTGGGGGCTACCCGAGTGGGGCCGTGGCAGGTTGGAGGCATCGGCGATGCGGCGCGATCTGGAGTTCGACTTTCTCCATCCCGCCGTCGCTGATCCATCGGCGGTGCAGGGCGATCCTCCGACCCCCTGGTCTCATTTGGGAGGCCTCCAGGAGGAGGGAGTAGCCCATCTTCACTCATCAGGTCAGGTGCCCCGGACGTGGTTCCGTTGGCCCCGGAGGAATCCAGCAGGCTTTAGCCAATGGCGGGAAAAAGAAACAAGCAGGAATCCAGTAGGCTTGATCGCGAAAGCGAGTCTGCCGCCCTGACTGACCCGCTTGAGGGAAGAGAAGGGAAGGGAGGGCTTCAGGAGGGAGGGAGGGGGGGGGGAGGAGGGAGGGAGGGAGAGGAGGGAACGGATGAGGGAACGGATGAGGGAAGGGAAGGGAAGGGAAGGAAGGGAGGAGGGGGGCGGAGGAGTGAGAGGAGGAGGGAAGGGGAGGAATGTAGGGAGGCATGGGGGAGGGCTGAAGGATGGAGGGGGAGGGGAGGAGGGGAGGGGTCTGGAGGCAAGCTAGGTGCGCTCGCGTCATATCTGACATCCTACCCCTCCCTCCCATCCCTTACCATGGCGTAGATCCCCTCTCTACTCGCACAGTCGGATGTCGAACAGGGCAATGATCCCGAAAGGGTACGCGATGCATTGTAGAGCACGGCATGGCATGGCGTAGAAGAGCACCGCAAAGCGTAGTATCAACGTAGCATTGCATTGCATGCCGTGGTATGGCACGGGAACTGACGCCAGCGCTGCAGCGGGAGCACGAGTCGGAACGAGCGGAAGCGCGGAAATGAGGCCAGTGCTGCAGCGGGAGCACGATTCGGAACGAGCGGGGCCCGAAAATGAGGCCGGCGCCTCAGCGAGAATAGCATTTTGGAAAAAAATGCAGGCGAAAACCCAATTCCGGGGAATCTTGTGTGTAAAAAAGCAGTACGCGGGGGGGGGGTTAATACTTTCAAGCCGTCATCAGGGGAAGAGGGAGAGTAGTATTCATATTGAGTAGTTGTGGAGCGGAAGGGGCGCCGAGGGGCAAGGATGGAAGGAAGAGCGGCGGGAAGGGGGGGCGGAGGGGGAGAGGAGGGGAGAAAGCGGGGAGGGACAAGGGGGGGAAGGAGGAAGGGGAGGGGGACGCGTGAGGCAAGAGCAGGGAAGGTGAGGGAGGGAAACAGTAGCTCCTCATCCTCCTCTCCCTCATCCCTCGTCCGCCTCATTCGCCTCGCCGTCGTCGTCGTCGTCGTCGTCGTCGTCGTCGTCGTCGTCGTCGTCGTCGTTGTCGTCGTCGTCCTGCTCCTCATCCCTCCGCCACTCAGAGTTCACGTACGGCGCGGTTTCAAACCCCTCGCGATGGCTTAGAGCAGACGCCCGACCTCCACTAGCCCGATTCCGATCCCGATCCTCGTCCCTCCTCCCTAATCCTCCTCCTCCTCCTGCTCTTCCTCCTCCTACTCCTCCTCCTCCTCCTCCTCCCTCCTCTGCTCTCCTCCCGTCTCCTCCTCCTCCTCCTCCTCCTCCTCCTCCTTCTCCTCCCCCCCTTCCCTTCCCCCTCCTCCTCTCCTCCTCATCCTCCTCCTCCTCCTCCTCCTCCTCCTCCTCCTCCTCCCTCCTCCTCCTCCTCCCCCTCCCCCTCCCCCTCCCCCTCCCCCTCTCCTCCCTCCTTTCTCGTCCTCGCCCTTCACTGACTACGTAATTTGTTTGGGGGGCGTCGGAGCGACGGCGAGCGCGAGGACCTGCTGAGCAAGGGCAACCCTGCAGCCTCGAAGGGCAAGCTGAACCTCAAGGTCGACAAGGCCGGCGCTGTGCTGGTGGAGAACCTCACCGAGGCCCTCCCTTCCCCTCCCCCCTCCCCCTCCTCCTCCTCCCTCCTCCTCCTCCTCCTCCTCCTCCTCCCTCCTCCTCCTCCTCCTCCCCCCCCCTCCTCCCCTCCTCCTCCTCCTCCTCCTCCTCCTCCTCCTCCACCTCCTTCTACTGCTCATCCTCTTCCCTCGTCCTCCGCCTCCTCCTCCCCCTCCTCCTCCTCCTCCTCCTCCTCCTCCTCCTCCTCATCCTTCCCCTGCTCCCCCTGCTCCCCCTGCTCCCCCTGACGACGAGCTGACGAGCTGAAGGCGATAGGATCCGTCGGATGCAGCCCTCGCTGCTGCTGCTGCTGCTGCTGCTGCTCCTCCTCCTCCTCCTCCTCCTCCTCCTCCTCCTCTCCTCCTGTCAGCTGGAAGAACCAACCCGCGGGCGGCAGAAGCGCGGCCTGCGGGCCCGGTGCTCCAGAGAGTGGCGTTCAGCACGCGAGAGCACTGAGGTGTCGCAGCCCCGCGAGGTCTCATGGGTTGCGGGAACCAGGCGATCGCAAACATGGATCCAGGGGCGTGGATTCGCGGATTTTCGCCGCCGAGCGAGGCGGCACCGGCCGCATTTTGGAGAGGGCACCTCCCCCGATCCATGGATTTGGCGACCGCGCCCCAAGTCCATGGATCGCTAATCCATGTCTGCGCGCCCTCGAGGGAACACCCCGCCCACGCGCAGGCTTCTCCTCCATGGGCTGGCGGCGCGCGCGATGGGGTGAGGCGGCCTTCTACGGCTCGTGGAAGGAAGAACGGCGTAAGCATCAACTTTCGAGGGTCTGCGCGGATTTCGCTGACCTGCGCTGGGCCTCCCTGGCGGCGCCTCTGGCGCCGCCCCTGGCGCGCTCCGTGCGCCAGGGAGGGGGGCCCAGCGCCGATCCAAGAAATTCCGCGCGGACCTCTGAAAGTTGATGAATATGTGGTTCGTTCTTCTGAAGAAGGCAGGGTGCTTCTTGGAAGGCGGAGGCCTTCTTGGAGGGGCCAGAGGCTCCTACGAAGGCTTTGTTGTAGGAGCTGGGAGCTGGTTTCTAATGAGCCCCCATGCCTTCTAATAAGCTCTCCCGCCTTCTCAGAAGACACCCCCTCGCGCTATCGCCTAGTGTGAGCCGCCAAATCCCGTGCGGCCTGACGCTCGCATTGCGTCGTTGTGCTGTGCATCCTGGCGCGGACGATGACGATCCGATCACGATCTGGTGCCGATGCAGCCCAGTCCCATGGACATTCCGATCCGATCCGATGTTCGGTCCGATGCCAACTGATGCTGCGACCGAGGCCTCCGCGGATGCTTGTGCGGAGACCTGCGCGGGGACTTCTCGGGACCTTTGGGAGCCTTCGTACAGCCTTCCCCATACCTCCTTCCCTCCCTGCTGGTACTGCTCATCTGTGACCAGCTAGCTGTTGCTGCTCCTCGTCCCTCTTCTCTCCTCCCTTACTCATCATCATGAGGATGAGAAGGAGGAGGAGCAGGATGAGGAGCAGGAGGAGGAGGAGGAGGAGGAGGAGGAGGAGGAGGAGGATGAGGAGGAGCAGGAGGAGCAGGAGGAGCAGGAGGAGGAGGGGCAGGATGAGCAGGAGGAGGAGGAGGAGGAGGAGGAGGAGGAGGAGGAGGAGGTGTAGCAGGAGGAGGAGGAGGAGAAGGAGGAGGAGGAGGAGGAGGAGGAGGAGGAGGAGCAGGAGTCGGAAGACCAGGACGAGGAATATGGGGCGGATGGTAATGATGCTGTTGTTGATGGAAATGGGGAGGCGGAGGAGGCGGAGGAGGAAGATGAGGAGGAGGAGGAAGATGTAGCCACTGCCACCGACGACGCCGCTGCCGCCGCTGCCGACGACGAGGACGAAGACGCCGACACCGACGACGACGCCGATGACGATGCTGCCGCTGCCGATGCCGCCGCTGACGCTGCCGCCGACAACGAGGAAGTGGAGGAGGAGAATGGCCAGGCGACGCCAACTGACCACCTCGCCGATCCTGGCCAGGCCCGCTCTGGGCTAGGGAGGCGTGTACCCTGAGATCCGACGTTGTTGCAAAACATTGCAGCACCGAAGCGCAAATCACGACCGGGGAGCCCTGGACCCCATCGTTCTGCGGCATGCTTCGAGCCGGACCGATCTGTGAGGGTCCCTGGGCCCGTAGCTGTGCGAAAGCGCCCGGTGCGAAAGAATTGTCACGCCTGGCCCCGACGACATTTTTACCTAACAGCTTTTGCTGATAGGTTTCTAGTGGTCTCAAAAGAAAGCATCTGGACTCCTCAGGGGGGTCTGGGCGGGTGCCGGGGAGGAGAGCCGGGAATCGTTTTTCGCCAACAGTCACACACTTCGTGCTCTTCGACCTCCCAGAACTCCATTCCCGGGCCACATTCTGGAGAACCGGGAACAGAGCCGGGCTCGCTTTTCGCCAACAGTCACACACTTCGTGCTCTTCGACCTCCCAGAACTCCATTCCCGGGCCACATTCTGGAGAACCGGGAACAGAGCCGGGCTCGTTTTTACCTAACAGCGTTTGCTGATAGGTTTCTAGTAGGCTCAAAAGAGAGCATCATGACTCCTCAGGGGGGTCTGGGCGGGTGCCGGGGAGGAGAACCGGCAATCGTTTTTCGCCAACAGTCACACACTTCGTGCTTTTCGACTTCCCAGAACTCCACTCCCCGGCCACATTCTGGAGAGCCGGGAACAGAGCCGGGCTCGCTTTTCGCCAACAGTCACACACTTCGTGCTCTTCGACCTCCCAGAACTCCATTCCCGGGCCACATTCTGGAGAACCGGAAACAGAGCCGGGCTCGTTTTTTGTCAACGGTCACACACTTCGTGCTCTTCGACCTCCCAGAACTCCATTCCCGGGCTACATTTTGAGTGCCCAGAGCCAAGCCAACTGTAGGCCACTTCGTGCTCTTCGAGTTCCCAGAACTCCATTCCCGGGCCACATTTTGGATGCCCGGAGCCAACTGTAGGCCACTTCGTGCTCTTCGATTCCCAGAACTCCATTCCCGGGCCACATTTTGATGCCCGGAGCCAACTGTAGGCCACTTCGTGCTCTTCAAGTTCCCAGAACTCCATTCCTGGGCATTCCTTTGAAGTGCATGATTTTGAATGCCCGGAGCCAACTGTAGGCCACTTCGTGTTCTTCTAGTTCCCAGAACTCCATTCCTGGGCCACATTTTGAATGCTGAGGCAGGCTGATGCTGCGGCCGAGGCAGGCTGAGGCTGAGGCAGGCTGAGGCTGAGGCCGAGGCTGAAGGCAGACTGAGGCTGAGGCTGAAGCAGACTGAGGCTGAGGCTGAGGCAGGCTGAGGCTGAGGCTGAGGCAGGCTGATGCTGAGGCAGGCTGAGGCTGAGGCTGAGGCTGATGCAGGCTGAGGCTGAGGCAGGCTGAGGCTGAGGCCGAGGCTGAAGGCAGACTGAGGCTGAGGCTGAAGCAGGCTGAGGCTGAGGCTGAGGCAGGCTGAGGCTGAGGCAGGCTGAGGCTGAGGCTGAGGCAGGCTGAGGCTGAGGCTGTGACTGCGACTGCCGTTGCCGCTGCGACTGTCATCGCGAATGCGACTACGACTGCGAGAACAGCAGAATTCTACAACTGGATTTCATCTGAATCTTGAAGGGGAATGCTTTCAGATATGCTTCTACACATCGCTGTTCGGTTGCTTTGCCGTTTTTTTTTTTTTTTTTTTTTTTTTTTTTTTTTTTTTTTTTTTTTTTTTTTTTTTTTTTTTTTTTTTTTTTTTCAGGACGTGGTCCCCCGGAGGTATGGGAGAGCTTCCTCGGGGCTGGTTTTTCATCCCGAGTCTTGTCTTGACGGCCCAAGGGCTCGGCGAGGGCCCCCCAGAGGACGGAGCCGGTCCGAGTCCGCCCGTCTTGGTTCTATGACCAGGCGAGGGGATTTGGGTCTACACCGATCTTGGGCCCAAGATCGGTAAGGTGGTCAGTTGGTCTCGCCCGAAGCTCGGCGGCAAGCGAGGGGGGGAAACGAGAAGGAGAAGGCCTTCTCAGAAGGCGGCGGACCTTCTCAGAAGCCCCCGCGCCTGCTGAAAAGTTTTTTTCTGTCCTCGGGGAAGGGTCAGACCACTTCTCAGAAGGCCGAGGGGGGACTTCCGAGCCCTCTGAGAAGGCCTTCTCCTCCTCACTTCCCCCCCTCGCTCGCCGCCGAGAAGCGGAGGGCGCGCGCACGCGGAGCCGTGGCCGCCAGGAGGCCTGCGACAGCGCGGACGAGCTGTCGAGGCTGCTGGAGAGGGGCAACGAGCAGGACCGGCCGCCCATCCGCCGCCGGCCTCGCGCGCCTTGGCCCGCCTGGAGGAGGAGGAGCAGGAGGAGGAGGAGGAGGAGGAGGAGGAGGGGGAGGAGGAGGAGGACCAGTGTGAGGACTCGTCAACGATGTTGGAATAAGCCCTCCCTCCAAGCTCCCTCCTCATAGGCCCCTACGAGTGTCCACTTCCACTGAGGAGACTGCCTCGTTGGGAGACAGCAGCTTGAAGACCCTGAAGCGCGCCAGAACACCATTCTCGGGACTCCAACGCCACGCATCAACTTGATTGTTGCGTCTTGGCGGTTCTGAGTCGTGCCAGAGCACTATTCTTGGGACTTCAACACTGCGAATCCAAGTAAATGTTGCACCTTCACAGTTCTGAGTGCTTCCCAAACACCATTTTCGGTACGTTGACCATGGAAATTGGTGAAACTCCTGCAAGTTTTGAAAACGAGTGTGCGCGGCGCTAAGGCGAGAGCCACATTTTGAAAACGATCCACCCTCGATCCGTGAAGCTCTTGCAAATGTTGAAGTAATGTGCGCGGCCCTCAGGCGAGAGTCGCATTTTGGAAACCAACCGCCCTCAATCCGTGAAGCTCTTACAATTATTTAAACGAAGGTGCGTGGCGCTAAGGCGAGAGCCGCATGTTGAAAATTGGCCCGGCATCAATCCGTGAAGCGCTTGCACATTTTTAAGACGAATGTGCGCGGCGCTAGGGCGAGCGCCACAATTTGAAACTCAGCCCGTGAAACTCTTGCGCATTTAAAAAACGAGTGTGTGGGGCGCTATGGCGAGAGCCACATCTTGAAAAGGAACAGCCCTCCATCCGTGAAGCTCTTATACATTTGCAAGACGAACGTGCACGGCGCTAAGGCGAGAGCCACAGTTTGAAAACGGCCCGCCACTAATCAGTGAAACTCTGGCAAATTATTAAAACGACTGTGCGCGGCCCAAAAGCGAGAGCCGTTTTTTGGAAACGACCTGCCTTCCACTTGTGAAACTGGTGCGACATTTTCTGGCTTCAGGGTCACAGGAGGTGAGGAAGTCTCAAGCGAGACTGGCCTCGGGTGCGACAGGAAGGAGTAAGGTATAAGGAAAGGAATGGAGGAGGGGGAGGAGGAGGAGGAGGAGGAGGAGGAGGAGGAGGAGGAGGAGGAGGAGGAGGAGGAAGAGGAGACAGCAGGGGAGGAGGAGAGAGCAGAGGAGGAAGAGGAGGAGGAGGAGGAGGAGGAGGAGGAGGAGGAGGAGGAGGAGGAGGACCAGAGTAAACACAAGACGCATCAACGATGTAGCAATAAAGGCCTCTAAGTTCCCACTTTATAGGCTTCTATACGGATTTATTTTCACTGGGGGAAATGCCCCGTTGGAAGACAACCTTCTGGAACTCCAGAATTGTACCAGGACGCGATTCCTGGGACTTTAACGCCGCGAATCACAGTTACTGTTGCACCTAGACGCTCCCGAGTCGTGCCAGACCACCGTTCCTGGGACTTCAACACCGCGAATCAACGTGACTGATGCGCCCCGACGTTCCGACATCGTGCCAAAACAGATTTTCTGGTACGGTGACCATGGGAATCCGTGGAACTCTTGCAAATTCGAAAACGACTGCTCGCCGCGCTAAGGCGAGAGCCACATTTCGAAAAGGAGCCGTCCTCCATCCGTGAAACTCTTACCAGCTTGAAAGACGAATGTGTGCGGCGCTAAGGCGAGAACCACATCTTGAAAAGGAGCAGCCCTCCATCCGTGAATCTCTTGCAAGCTTTTAAGACGAATGTGCGCGGCGCCCAGACGAGAACCACATGAAAAGAACGGGCCGCCCTCCAATCTGTGAAACTCTTGCGGACTCTGCAGGCGAATGTGCGCGGCGCTAAGGCGAGAGCCACATGAAAAAACTGGCCGCCCTCCATCCTTGAAGGTCTTGCAAGTTTTACGCTTCAGGTTCACAAAGTGTAAAGAAGTCTCAGGTGAGACGCCCGGCCTGCCCTTTCGACCGGCCTAGGGCTGCGACAGGGAGGAGTTATCTATAAGGAAAAGGAATGGAGGAGGAGCAGGAGGAGGAGAAAGCAAAGAAAGGAGGAGGAGGAGGAGGAGGAGGAGGAGGAGGAGGAGGAGGAGGAGGAGGAGGAGGACGAGGAGGAGGGAACACAGCAGGTGGGGGAGGATGGAGCAGAGGAGGAGGAGGAGGAGGGAGGCGGAGGAGGAGGAGGAGGAGGACGAGGAGGCGGTGAGGGCCATACTTGGACCTCTAGGTTGGGCGATGATGAACTTCTAGGAAAAGGATGATGATGATGAAGATGACGATGATGAGGATTATGATGATGCTGCTGATGATGATACTGATGATGACGATCATGACGATGACGATGACGATGATGATGATGCTGCTGATGATGATGCTGATGATGATGCTAATGATGATGCTGATGATGCTGCTGATGATGAGGAGGAGGACGAGGAGGAGGAGGAGGAGGAGGAGGAGGAGGAGAGGAGGACGAGGAGGGAAGGAGTAGGATGAGGGGGATGAGGGGAGAGAAGGAAGAGCACGAGGAGGAAGAGGAGGAGGAGGACGACGACGACAGCAATGCCGCCCCGCAGCGGACTGTGGCCGCCACGGAGATGAACAGCGAGAGCTCGCGCTCGCACCTGGTGCTCATCATCAAGGTAGTGAGCGTCAACAGGGAGACCAAGGAGAAGCTAGCAGGCCCCTCTTGACGGTCGAGCACGAAAAATACATAAGACATTACCTTTCGAGGATCCGCGCGGATTTCTTGGATTTGCGCTGGGCCCTCCTGGCGGCGCCTCTGGCGCCGCCCCTCGCGCGCTCCGCGCTCCAGGTAGGGGGGTCCAGTGCAGATCCAAGAAATCCGTGCAGACCTCCGCAAGTCTGTGTGCTATGCAGTCGTCTTCGTCTAGCCTCGAGCGACGGGAGCTGTGCCTCCTAATCGTTCCCTCGATCTCTCACGCGTCCGGGCCGCCCCCCTCGCCGTCATGGCCAGACGCAGCTCCTTGAATAACCGTTCAGGGTTGGACACTGGGAGGTCAGCCCTGACATGACCCTTTGCAGGTTCGCGCAGATTTCCTGGGCCGGCGCAGGTTCCTCTCCTCACCACCCCATGGCAGCGCAGGACCCTCCGCGCGGGCCTCCGAAAGTGCATGCATATGTGTTTCTTCGGTCTTCGAGTCTTGACCGATGACGGCTGTGCCTGTACGCCGATCCTTGCCGGGCCCATCTTGGGAGCAGCATTGGTGCATGTGCCTCCCTGGCCAAGCCATGATGGCGTATGCACCGATTCTGGGTTCGGGATGATTCTTGGCCAGGAGCGGTGAGTGCTCATAGAACTCTTCCGCCTTCTGATGCGTGCACGGTTTCGCTGTTTGCGCCTTTCTAGTCAAGTGCCTTACGCCACTCCTCTGACCCCCCATGCTGGGCCTCTCGGAGGGCTCTTGGGGGCATCTGAGGGGCTTTTCGGGGCTTCTTGAGGGCCCCTCGTGGGCTTCTTGGGGGCCTCGTGGGGTCCTGTCGGGGTCTCTTGGGGGCGCCTCGGGGGCGTCTGGGGTCTCTCGAAGCCATCTTGGGGGGACAGGCTCAAAATGTCAACTCGTATTTCCCCTCTATGGCCCCTCTTAGGGCCCTCTTGGCGCTCCTTTGGGCCTTCTTGGGGGCCCCTGGGGCCGTCTTGAGGCTCCTTTGGGCCGTCGTGGGGCCCTCTTGGGGGCCTCATCCGTCGTGGGGGCCACCCTGGCCAAGCCATCCTGCACCGTCGTGGGGCTGCCTTGGCCTGGCTCGACGCTCCCTTGGACTGTCCTGGCGTTCTGGTCGGGCCCCCCTTGGGCCGTCCTGGGGCTTTTGGGGGGGGCACCAGAAGCCCCGGGTGGACCCGTGGGCAAGATCCGGTCTTGCCAGAAGTGCCCCTGGCCCAAGGTGCCGCCAGGATTTCCAAGGAGCCCCCCTTTCTGCCTCCAAGGCATCCCTCACAAGGCCCAGAGGGCCCCAGGTGCTCGAAAATTTAGCGAAAAGCCGGGGGCACCCGGGGCCAGGGGCACTTTTAGCACCCCCCGAAAAGAGGGAGGGGGACGGCCAAGTGTCTCCCGCGCCTTGACGCCCCTGGCGAGCGTGCGTCGGCGGACTTTGTGCTGTTTCCACTGGATTGTTCGAAGCTCTCTGTCGTCGGGGCCCTCCTGCCGCTGCTCCTCTTCCTCGTCTCTCTTTTTTGTCTTCCCCTTCGTAGGGTGGGGGGCGGAGGGGGGGCAGAGATGCGGATGAGGGTTGGGGTGGTTGTGATGAGATGATTGTGGCGATAGCGGTGATGTCGATAGTGGTGGTGATGGTTTTGGTGGCGGCGGTGGTGGTGGTGACGACGACGAGGAGAAGGATTATGGTGATGATGATGATGATGATGATGATGATGATGATGATGATGATGATGATGATGATGGTGATTATGATGATGATGATGTTGATGAGGATGATAATGATGTTGATGAGGATGATAATGAGGATGATGATAATGATGATGATGCTGATTGCGATGACGATTAGGAGGATGATGACTATGCGGATTATGTGGGTGATGACGATGATGATGAAGATGATGATGATTAGGAGGATGATGCTGATGCTGCTGGTGATGATGATCATGATGATCATGGTGATGATGATCGTGGTGACGACGACGACTAGGAGAAAGATTATGATGATGATGGTGATGAGGATGATGATGATGATGATGATGATGATGATGATGAGGATGACGACGATGAGGATGATAATGATGATAATGATGATGATGGTGATTATGATGATGATTAGGAGGATGATCACTATGCGGATTATGCGGGTGATGGCGATGATGACGGTGATGATGATGGTGATGATGATAATGCTGATGCTGCTGCTGCTGATGATGGTGATGATGATCATGGTGATGCTGACGACGCCGATGTTCATCATGACCATGATGATTTTGATGCTGATCATGATGCTGATGATGACGATACTGCTGATGCTTATGATGATTATGATGGTACCGACGGCGACGACAACGTCCCGATGATGATGCTGATGATGATGATGATGATGCTGACGACGATCAGTACGATGATGATGGTTATGATTACGATGACTATGAATGCGAGGACGACGATGACGATGATGATGATGATGCTGACGACGATGCTGATGCTGATGCTGATGCTGATGATGTTGATGCTGCTGATGATGCTGATGCTGATGCTGATTATGATGCTTCTGATGATGACGCTGATGATGGTGATGCTGATGATGATGATGACGATGATGAAGATGATGATGATGATGATGCTGATGATGATGATGACGCTGATGATGGTGATGCTGATGATGATGACGATGATGATGATGATGATGATGATGATGATCATGATTATGATGCTGATGACGATACTGATGATTATGCCGATGATGATACTGATAATGACGATGCCGATGATTGTGCTGCTGATGATGATACATATGCTGCTGCTGCTGCTGATGATGATGATGATGATGATGCAGATGATCATGATGAGGTGCTGCTGATGATGATGATGATGATGAGGATGGTGATGATGATGCTAATGATGATGCTGATGCTGCTGATGATGATGAGGATGCTGATTCTGATTATGATGCTGCTGATGATGATGATGATGATGATGTTGATTCTGATGATGATGATGATGATGATGCTGATGCTGATGATGATGATGATGATGATGATGATGATGATGATGATGATGATGATGATGATGATGATGATGATGATGATGATATGCTGAGGATAATTCTTTACGCTTCGCGTATCCCCACCAGCCCATCTCACAGCAGCAACTCTTGCGAAGCATGCCGACAGTCGTGTTTTTCAGGCGTGTGTCCGCTTGGCCCCGCATATCTCCCCTGTTCCTCCTTCCTCCCGCCTCCTTGTACATCCTCCTTGTGGGGGGAGCGGGAGAAGGACGAGGCGGAGGAGGAGGGAGAGAAAGCGCTCCTCGTGGTTTGAGTCGTTTGGGGTTTCTCGTCCTGGTGTGAGTCGTTCGGGCCCTTCTTCCTGGTGTGAGTCGTTCGGGCTCTTCGTGGTGTGAGTCGTTCGGGCTCTTCGTCCTGGTGTGAGTCGTTCGGGCTTCTCGTGGTGTGAGTTGTTCGGGCCCCTCGAGTCGTCGGGCCCCTCCTTGTGGTGTGAGTCGTTCGGGCTCTTCGTGGTGTGAGTCGTTCGGGCTCTTCGTCCTGGTGTGAGTCGTTCGGGCTTCTCGTGGGGCCTCTTGGGGGCCTCTTGGAGCCTCTTGGGGCCTCTTGGGGGCCTCTTGGGGGCCTCTGGGGAGCCTCTTGGGGGCCTCTTGGGGCCTCTTGAGGCCTCTTGGGGGCCTCTTGGGGGCCTCTTGGGGGCCTCTTGGGGCCGCTTGGGAGCCTCCGGGGGGCCTCTGGGAGGCCTCTTGGGAGCCTCCTGGGGGCCTCTTGGGGCCATCTTGGGGCCTCGTGCGATCTCCTCAGAAGCGCCAGTGAGAGCTGCCCCCTGAAAAAGGACAAAATGAGCCCAAAACCTTCGTAACATCAATGATTTTGCTATGAAGGAAGATGAGCGCGGCCCCCTCAGGACGCCCAAATGGGGCCAAAACCGTAGTAAAATCAATGATTTTTGCTTCAAAGACGAGCAGAGGGGCCAAACTCCCTCCCCCCGTCGGGGCCAGAATCCTCGTGAGGGTCGTCGTTTTTTGGCCCTCCCAGGAGTCGAAAAGACCCCCCTGACACCACCCCGGACTCCCTGTCCAGGTCCAGGGGGAGGGGGTAGGGGGAGGGGTAAACCCCTCCCCGAAGGGGAAGAAGGGGGGTTGAGGACAGAGCGGGCTCTCTAAACCACTCACGCCCAAAGGGCTGGTGGGATATGTTGAACCACCTACGGGAGGATTGGTGGCATTTGTCGTAGCTCGCGCTAGGTAGTACCCGCCACCAGGCCTACTCGAGGATCATTATGCAGGTGTGCATTGGATGACCGTTCTCTGGCCTTACAGACGCCAATACTTCGACGAAGATGGTGAGAATGCAGCCATATTGCCTGGGTAGCCGTGCTCATTATACACGTTTCAAGCTGGTTACGTCTCGTGAGTTGTTCCAGGGCGACCGCCGTGGAGGTCACGCCAAATGTGTAGCGGAAGAGGTCGAGCTGAGGCTGATTGTGCGCGCTGCCCATATAGCAGGGGCAACATGTACACGCCAGTCGTTGGAAGTAGGTATTTTTGGATTCCCAGATCCCAATTTGCTTCAGGCGCCGTCCTACTTCAATCATCCAGTGCTTTTCTCCTCTTCCTTCCTCTTCAGGGGGCGGGCGGAAATCCAATATTTTTCCAACGCCTTCCTACTTCATGGTTCTACCTACTTCTTCCGACCGAAGGGTTAGCTTCCCAATCACAAGCAAGGTGCAGATCGAAAGTAGAAGCCAGGCTCGAGCTGACACGCAGGCTCGCTGTGCGCGCTTGACGAACGACGGCCGTCTGGGACGGGTGCAAAATACGGCTGGAGGTGGCTCATGATCTGCCTCGCGCTGGTGTTCGCTACGATCTACCTGTCCATCTCTGGTGTCATGCCGAAGATTGTCCGCATCTTCATCATGACCGAGGACCTCAGGGCTCCGGGCACCCCCGAGGGCCCGCGGGACCTCGGTGCCGTGGCGAGTGCTGCACGGGCGGATGCTCCTGGACCCACTCAGTGCCTGGCCCTCCCTGCACGCGAGTGTCGCCACCAGTTCGTATCGTTTAACCAATCCCCATCCCCATCCCCATCCCCTTCGAGACCCCCACCACCCCAGTTGGGGATACATCCCTCGAAACTCGAAGGGAACGACCTATATCCCCATCTAGGGGGGTATATCGGCCAGTGGGGCCCAGGCCACGCCGCTGGGGATGGGGATCGGTTAAACAAAAATCAACCAGCGCCCGAAGAAGATATCGCAGCCCACAGAGATGGTGTAAGAGTGAAGCGTGCACAGGCGTGGCGAGAAAAAGCGCTCGAGTGGTATGAGCGATGCGCCGAAGTGGGGCGGCGCCGCCATGCGGATGTAGCCACTGGGGCTCCGTATGGGGCCACGAAACGTGTGAGGATTCGGCCGACATGGGGCGGTGCCTCCATGCGAACTTTGCCGTTGGGGTACTCGGTGGAGCTCCTTGCGGGGTCACGAAACGTATGATGGGTGCGCCGAAATTGGCATGCGGAGGGTAGAGGCACGAGGAGTGAGGAGGGAGGGGGCGGGAGTGAGTGAATGGCGCAGGGCACTGTCTCTCCAAAACGGTAACCCAACACCACAGGATGACTAGGAAAAGCAGGGCGGAATTTGAAGAAACGGTGCCAGGGAGGATCGGTGGACGGGGATAAGTGTGAGAGATCGTGTTTTGGACGTTTCGCGGTGTCTCCCAAAGCGAATGCTTGGATTGGTTATCACATACAGGAGAAGGCATCAACGAGCAAGATAATGATGAGAGGAAGGAGGAAGTGTAGGAGGATGAGGATTACGAGGAGAAGGCAGACGACGACAAGCAGCATCAGCAGCAGTTAGAGTTGGACAGTTATCGAAACAGTATTTCGCCAAGCTGGAAGTGGTGGAATTTCTTTTGCGGGGTACAATGTTCAGTGTGCCCACCCCGTGCATCATACTATAATCGATGTTCAGCAGCTCGATCGTCGTCGTCATGGTCGTCTCAGCGGTCCCCGCGTTCAGTATGCTCCTCTGGCACCTTGGCAATGACCTCGTCACCCCTCCGACCAGCTGCCGCATCCAGGTCATGTCGGCGTTTCTCATGGCCATCTTTGACACCTCGCCATCTTCCTCTCGGCATCCCCCGTTCGCATCCGCAGAATATTACCTACTTCTGGACCTCCCTCGGCACGTTCTTCTGGCTGGCCCTGACCGTGTTCATGGTGATCAGCACCACCCCGCCACTGATGTTCAACGTCAGCCATTTCGCGCTCTACGTGCTCTCCATCAGGACATGCTCGCGGATCCGAAACGACGTTGACAGATACCACTGCGATGCGTGCTCATTCCCAACCATCATGTGGCGATGGGTCTTCGCTTTGAAGAGACAGCGCCCCGCCTCGTTCCTCCTCCCCCTCCTCGTCGTCATCATCACCACCATCATCATCATCATCATCCTCAGCAGCATCACCACCACCAGCATCATCATCAGTGCCATCATCGTCATCATCATTATGATCGCACGTTTCGGCACACTCCTCACACGTTTTGACCCGATAGGGAGTCCCATCGAAGGCCTCAGTGGCTGCGGTCGCATGGCGCCGCCGCACTCGTTTCGGCACACCCCTCGCCCGCTTCGTGGCCTCGTGAGATGTTCCACCGAAGGCCCCAGCAGTTGCGTTCGCATGGCATCGCCGCACGCATTACGACACCTCATGTACACGCTTCGTGGCCTCATAAGGAATTCCACCGAAGGCCCCAGCGGTTGCGTTCGCATTGCACCGCCGCGCCATTTCGGCACACTGGTCACACGTTCCGTGGCCCCATGAGGCGCTCCACCAAAGGTTCCCCAGTGGCATCGTTCGCATGGCACCGCCGCGCCCATGTCAGCACACCCTTCACACACCTCGTGGCAACATAGGCAGGTCCATCCAAGGTCCCAGCCGGTGCGTGCGCCGTCGCAACCGTTTCGGTACACCCCTCACACGTTTCATGGCCCCGTGAGATGTTCCACCGAAGGCCCCAGCGGTTGCGTTCGCATGGCACCGCCGCACACATTACGGCACAACCCGTACACGTTTCGTGGCCCCATGAGGAATTCCACCGAAGGCCCCAGCAGTTGCGTTCGCATGGCACCGCCGCACCATTTCGGCACACCCGCCACACGTTCCGTGGACCCATGAGGAGTTCCACCAAAGGTTCCAGTGGCAGCGTTCGCATGGCACCACCGCACCCATGTCAGCACACCCGCCACACGTTCCGTGGACCCGTGAGGAGTTCCACCAAAGGTTCCAGTGGCAGCGTTCGCATGGCACCGCCACACCCATGTCGGCACGCCCTTCACATGCTGCGTGACCTCATGAGGAGCTCCACCGAAGGCCCCAGCAGTTGCGTTCGTATGGCACCGAAAATTCAAGTGGCATCGTTCGCATGGCACCGCCGCGCGCATTTCTGTACACCTCTCACACGCTTCGTGGCCCCATAGGAAACTCCACTGAAAGTTCCAGATGCAGCCTTCGCATGGCACCGTCACACCCGTTGCAGCACACCCCTCACACGCTTCGTGGTTTCAAGGCCCCAGTGGTTGCGTTCTCATGGCACCGCCGCACCCATGTCGGCATACTTCTCAAACGTTTCGTGGCCCCATGAGGAGCTCCACCGAAGGCCCAAGTGGCTGCGTTCGCACGGGACCGCCGCACTCATCTCGTCACACCACTCACAAGTTTCGTGGCACCATAGCGAGTTGCCCCTATTTAGTCTCGCTTGCCTTGCGGCACTCGCACCCGCATATGGTTGGGTTGTCCGCCAAGATAACTGTGTTCGATTGCACACCGTATCAACGAAGAGAATAACGCGTAAACGTAAAACGATCGGAGCTCCGCACGGATTTACTGGATCTGCGCTGGGCCCCCCTGACGGCGCCCCTCGCGCTCTCCGCGCGCCAGTGAAGGAGGACCAGCGCCGATCCAAGAAATCCGCGCGGAGCTCCCAAAGTTTGTGTTTACGCGTTTCTTCTTCCAAGAACGAGGTGTGACTCAGAGTGCAGCGCTTGGACGTGCATACTGTGCTCCGTCGCAGCGGTCTGGCCGTCGTGCACGCGGACAAGCGAGTTGCCGCCTCGGATGGTGAGCTAGATTAGACGAGCATCTCAGGAGGGCGGCTCCACGGGGCAGATGGTACGGACTTGGCTGAGGGGCTGGAGGATTGCCCACCAGCCAGGCCCCATCCTTTAGAAAGAACGCAGGCGGCCGACAATGCCGGCGACGATGCTGCAGACGATGACGCCGACGACGGCCACGACGACAGTGGCGAGCCTCGACGGTCCCCAGGGTCTCAAGACAAAGCAACAACCAAGACATCTAAAAGCCTGAATGCCACTCCACCCTCGACGAAGACGACGACGAAGACGAAAACGACGACGACGACGACGACGACGACGACGACGACGGGGCGCCCGAGCGGCTTCGGACTTCAAGGCCGGTCGCCGCGCGCCGCCACTGGTCCCTCGATCTGTCGCTCTGTCGCGGCTCGGTGCCGCAGCGCCGACGCCACCGCGCCGCCGCGCGCCGCCGCTGGTCGGCGTGTGCGTGTCGGCACCGTCGCCACAGATCGGGCTTGTCGGGGCTTGTCGGGGCGCTCGGCGCAGCGGGGCGAGGGCGACGAGTGGGGGGGTCGGGAGGGGAAGGAGAGAGAGGGGAGAGGGGAGAACGAGGACGAGGAGGAGGTGGAAGAGGAGGACGAGGAGGAGGAAGATGAAGAGCGAGGATGGAGGAGGAGGAGGAGGAGGAGTAGGAGGAGGACGAAGAGGAACGAGGAGGAGGAAGGAGGAGGAGGAACGAGGATGGGGAGCCGACCATGAGAGCGAGCTCAGGATGGCGGAGCACGGGATGCTGAACTACTATAAGAACCTCGGCGATAGTGACGAGCTCTCCATCTGGCGTGGCCAGCAGGCCCCTCCCCCCCTGTCGCGAGCGGCGGCTGGCGAGTCGGCCACGGGCGGCCCGTGGCGCCTCTTGGGGAAATCGGCTCAGCACATTCGGGCAGACAGGCACTCCTCCTCCTCCTCCTCCTCCTCCCCTCCTCCTCCTCCTCATCCTCATCATCATCATCATCATCATCATCATCATCATCATCATCATCATCATCATCATCATCATCATCATCATCATCATCATCGTGGTTCCCCTCGTGGCTCTCCTCGCTCGCTCGCAACCTGCGGACTCTCGATCCAAACGCAACCCAATCAGTGCTCCTCGTCGTCCTCCTCCTCCTCCTGCCCGCCCGGCGCGGCCGGCAGCCACCACCACCACCCCTCCGCGACCCCCGCGAGCGGCGGCCAGCGGCCGTCGTCCCCGTCGTCGTCTCCTGGCTCGCCTCCGGCTCCTGGCACGCATGGAGCACAGTCAACCCGCACAGTCAACCCCCTGAGCAAATTATCCCGGCAAAGTGACCTAACAGCGATGTGTAAAAGCATATCTGGAAGCATTCCCCTTAAGATTCTGATGAGAATCCAGTTGTAGAATTCTGCTGTTCTCGCAGTCGCAGTCGCATTCGCGATGACAGCCGCAGTGGCAACGGCAGTCGCAGTCACAGCCTCAGCCTCAGCCTGCCTCAGCCTCAGCCTCAGCCTGCCTCAGCCTCAGCCTCAGCCTGCTTCAGCCTCAGCCTCAGTCTGCCTTCAGCCTCGGCCTCAGCCTCAGCCTGCCTCAGCCTCAGCCTGCATCAGCCTCAGCCTCAGCCTCAGCCTGCCTCAGCATCAGCCTGCCTCAGCCTCAGCCTCAGCCTGCCTCAGCCTCAGCCTCAGCCTGCTTCAGCCTCAGCCTCAGTCTGCCTTCAGCCTCGGCCTCAGCCTCAGCCTGCCTCAGCCTCAGCCTGCATCAGCCTCAGCCTCAGCCTCAGCCTGCCTCAGCATCAGCCTGCCTCAGCCTCAGCCTCAGCCTCCCTCAGCCTCAGCCTCAGCTGCTTCAGCCTCAGCCTCAGTCTGCCTTCAGCCTCGGCCTCAGCCTCAGCCTGCCTCAGCCTCAGCCTGCCTCGGCCGCAGCATCAGCCCTCACACTGTCTCAAGCCTCAGGCCGTCAGCCTGCCTCATCCATCCGGCCTCAGCCTCAGCCTGCCTCAGCATCAGCCTGCCCAGCCTCAGCCTCAGCCTGCCTCAGCCTCAGCCTCAGCCTGCTTCAGCCTCAGCCTCAGTCTGCTTGCAGCCTCGGCCTCAGCCTCAGCCTGCCTCAGCCTGCATCAGCCTCAGCCGCAGCCTCAGCCTGCCTCAGCATCAGCCTGTCTCAGCCTTAGCCTCAGCCTGCCTCAGCTTCAGCCTCAGCCTGCTTCAGCCTCGGCCTCAGTCTGCCTTCAGCCTTGGCCTCAGCCTCCGCCTGCCTCAGCCTCAGCCTGCATGAGCCTCAGCCTCAGCCTCAGCCTGCCTCATCATCAGCCTGCATCAGCCTCAGCCTCAGCCTGCCTCAGCCTCGGTGCGTGTGCCTTAGCGAGCCTCAGCCTCATGCCTAGCCAAGCCCTAGCCTCAGCCTGGCCTCCGCCTCAGCCTCGCTGCTCAGCCAGGAGCCCTCAGCTGCCCTCTATCCCTCAAGCATCATCCTTGCCCTCAGCCTCACCTTCACCTCTGGTGGCCTTCAGCCTAGGCCTCAGCTCAGCCTGCTCAGCCTCACAGCCTTCCTCAGCCTCACCTCAGCCTCATCCTCAGCCTCAGCCGCCTCAGCCTGCTCAGCATCAGCCTGCCTCAGGCCCGTCCGCCTCAGCCTGTCCTCGAGCCTCAGCCTCAGCCTCAGCCTCAGCCTCAGCCTGCCTCAGCCTCAGCCTGCCTTAGCCTCAGCCTCAGCCTGCTTCAGCCTCAGCCTCAGCCTGCATCAGCCTCAGCCTCAGCCTGCCTCAGCCTCAGCCTCAGTCTGCTTTCAGCCTCGGCCTCAGCCTCGGCCTCAGCCTCTGCCTCAGCCTGCCTCAGCCTGAGCCTCAGCATCAGCCTGCCTCAGCATCAGCCTGCCTCAGCCTCAGCCTCAGCCTGCCTCAGCCTCAGCCTCATCCTCAGCCTGCTTCAGCCTCAGCCTCAGTCTGCCTTCAGCCTCGGCCTCAGCCTCAGCCTGCCTCAGCCTCAGCCTGCCTCAGCCTCAGCCTCAGCCTGCTTCAGCCTCAACATCAGTCTGGCTTCAGCCTCGGCCTCAGCCTCAGCCTGCCTCAGCCTCAGCCTGCCTCAGCCTCAGCCTCAGCCTCAGCCTGCCTCAGGCTCAGTCTCAGCTTGCCTCAGCCTCAGCCTGCCTCAGCCGCAGCCTAACAGTTGGCTCCGGGCAATCAAAACGTAGCCTGGAAATGGTGTTCTGGGAACACGAAGAACACGAAGTGGCCTCAGTTGGCTCCAGGCATTCAAAATCATGCCCAGGAATGGAGTTCTGGGAACCTCGCAGTATGCCTCTGAAAGTGGCCTACAGTCTTTGGCTCAGGCATTCCAAGATCATGCCCAGGAACGGAGCTCTGGGAACTCGAAGACCGACGAAGTGGCCTCAGTTTGGCTCCGGTCATTCAAAATCATGCCAAGGAATGGAGTTCTGGGAATCGAAGACCCACGAAGTGCGTTGTTACTGTTGGCTACAAAGGGAGTCCCCAGTTTTCCCCGGCATCCCCCGTATCTTGCCCAGCATACCCCCTTGGGGAATCAGGATGCTCTCTTTTGACCCCACTTGAAACCTATCAGTCTTCGCTGTTAAAACAAGAAACAAAAAATCCTGAGCGTATGGTCCCAGGGGGGTCGCAAGAAGTGCGGCTTTCTGAGGAAGCCCTCTCTTCGAGGCCTCTGGCCCCTTCCGAGAAGACCAGGGGCAGATTCGGCTGGGCGGAGGTCGGCCAGGCCGAATTCGGTTTGTCCGAGTTCAGTCTGGCCGAGGCCGAGGTCAGCCAGCCGAGTTCAGCCTGGCTGAGTTCAGCTGGCCGAGTTCAGCCTGGCCGAGTCATTTTCTTGTCCTTCGAGAAGCCCCTTGCCTATCGTGGAAGGCCGTGGACCTCGCTCTACAGTCAACCCGCATAATAAGGACGGGCAACCTTCCCAAGGGTACCCTTGCATCCTTGCCTCCTCGGTCCATCCTTGGCCACTTTCGTCTGCCACGCCCCGCTCGAAAAGTTTCGCAATGGGCGTCCCAGGCCCTTGCGTCGTCATCGCGCACCCTTACGATACGGGCCGACTGTGGCTCCTCTGACGGAGCGCAGAGCTTGGAGCCGGCTGGGGGGCTGAGGTGGCTCAGCGTTGGTTCCAGCCAGGAGAAATGGACGGAGCAAGGGGCCCCACTCGTCGCCGCGGCGGGGCGCGGCTCGAACAGCAGTTCCGCCTCGGCCCCCTCGAGGGGTCCAGGGACAGATGTTGAGCGGATTTGTCCTCGCCCCCCCCCCTCTTGACCAATTCTTCGGGGCCCATCCAGCGCAGACCCCCAGCCGATTCCAGCTCAGAGGGAGTAGGGTCATCATCACTGCATCACTGGGTAAGTGGGGGATGGAGCCTCCTCCGCTCCCTCTCGCCTGCTGCAGGACAGCTTCATCCTAGATTGCTTGAGTGCACCGTCGACAGCTCAGCTTCAGTACCCGTCGACCGTCGAGAGCAGGTATTTTAGGATGCCCGGATCCCAATCTACTGTCACCGCATTCCTACTTCAAGAGTCGAGTGGTCTGCCCTCCTCCCTCCGCTTCAGGGGGCGGGCGGCAGCTCAATCTACCTCCAACGCCTTCCTGCTGCATTGTTTTACCCACTTCTTCCGACCGACAGGTATCGTGGTTCACCCTTCGACCCGCGGGCAACTGCACTCGCATTCATCGAGGCGCGGTCCGAATTTCGTGGCTATCCTCCTCGTCCTCCTCCTCCTCCTCCTCCTCCTCTCACTGCCTCCTCCTCCTCCTCCTCCTCCTCCTCCTCCTCCCTCTAACGTCCTCCTCCTCCTCCTCTTCACTCCTCCTCCTTCTCCTTCTCCTGCCTCCTTATCCTCCTCTCCTCCTCCTCCTCCTCCTCCTCCTCCTCCTCCTCCTCCTCCTCCTCCTCCTCCTCGCCCCCCGCCCCCCCACCCCCCCCATCTTGGTGGCGAGCGGTGGCTGGCGGCCCGCGGGGCGGGACGGGGCGGCGCCCCTGGCGGGCGCGGGCTCAGCCCCTCGGCCGGGCTGGCGCTATCTCGTCCTCGGCGGCTCCGTCGGCCCCAGACCACCTCCTCCTCCTCCTCACTCCTCCTCCTCCTCCTCCTCCTCCTCCTCCTCCTCGCCGTGAAGAAATCGCGACGCGAGGTGTTTGGCTACAGCAGGCTCGTCAAACAAGAGTTCGGCCTGCTGGCAGATGCCCCGCGGAAGTCCCTTTATCCTCCGACGGCCTTGGGGACCCAGAGAAGCTTTGGAACGCTTCGGGAAGTTCAAGTCTCGGCAAAGAATGTGCCCCAAGGTTTTTTATTGCAAGGGGTCTTATCATGTGTGCCTGGCCTCTGCACAGGAGGAAACATGCAAAACTTGTAAAAATAGTCTTGGGACGATGGTTTGATGTGTTTTCCCTATGCTTGAGCATGTGTTAATTATTTGTCAGTTGTCCTCCAAAAGCCGCCTGTAGGAGGGCATGCCCGACCTAACCCCAGGACCGTCCACAAACCGCTCGGGATGAAGAGCCAGTCCCAGGGAGGGGTCGAGACCTCAGCGGGCCCAAGTTGTGAAAAAAGGTGAGGCGTCGGGGGGGTGGGAGGCAGGAACGTTTCCATCTTCGACGTCCTCCACGGGATCTTATCTATCGTTTTGGTAGGCTGGTTGGTTCTTGGCAGCTTTCTTGGCAGCTCATTCGCGCATTTGTCCGCATCCTCTTCTACTCCTCCCCAATCCCTCTTCTTTATTCCCATGATCAGTGTATCCTCTGCCTCCTCATCCTCCTCAACCTCCTGCTAAGGCTACGTCTCCTCCTCCTGCGTCTCCTCCTCCTCATTATCCTCCTCATTCGTCTTCTTCTCCTCCTCCTCCTCCTCCTCCTCCTCCTCCTGCTCGTCCTCCTTCGCCTCCTCCTTCCTGCAGCCTTACAGATGAGGGCAGTAGGGTCTCCACGACACGACCCCGACCCATGCCTTCCTCTTCTAGTCTACCCCTCTTCTTCCAGTTCGCACCCTCTTGGCATTCCATCTCTTCTCGACATGAGCGGCGGACGAGCAAGATGCAGCTAGCTCGGCTTCGCGTCATAGCGCCTGTGGCCATGACAGAAGGAAACGAAAGAGAGAGAGAGTTGGACGCTGCACTGTGCCAGAAAAGTAATGCAACTTGAATAGTCGAATTGTTGTTTCCGTCGATATGGTTTGTTCGTAGTTGTTGGCCTTTGGGTGCCGTTGTTGGACCTCGGGACCCTCAGACACGGGCCCGGCATGAAAACTAACCCCATGAAAAACTACCCGGCATGAAAAACTACTTTTCAAGGGGGGGCGCATGCTGGATAGCACCAGAAGACCACAAGGTGACCGATTGTGTTTGTCTTCTTGGGGGGTCACTACTGCGAAGACGGCGATGTCGAGTAAAGATAGGCACCGTGGGCTCAAGAAAACGTAACACATCCGAAAAGACAAGCTTCACATTCGTTGACCAGAAGTGTTCCCAGCACTATGGCGAAACATGATTGCTTGATACCTAAGAAGACGAACGAATGCGTGTTTGGGACAAACGTGCCTGTCGAAGCGGTACGGGGATGTTTGTGTTTGAGAAATGAGACATGGAAGTGGTTTCTCCCATGGTTCTGCGCAGGCTTGGGGTGGTATTGCCAGAGTGTCGGACTGCACTGGGCCACCTACCAGTACGTTCATAAATACGCAGAGGATAACAAGACTCTGGCTGCCTCCGAGGGGCAACGCACATTGTATGACTCCTTCGAAGAGGGCCCTGCCGTGAAGATCGATATGCATACGATCGACATGATCGCAGCGCTAATCCCGATGTGTTTCGTGGTGCTTACGTTCTTCGCTGTGTCCGCGTCGTCAAAAATCTGTTTTTGTTGTTCACGCAGCTCGGCCGAACACCCACAACATCCACAGCATGCTTACTTACTGCGCCAAAATGTCTTGCGAATCTGGACCAAGGTGATGACCTGCGCGATGTTCTTATTCATGTGCAAGGGCACCCTAGGTGCGATCACGGTAGTCCCCGATTCCAGCGGCTGGGATGTTTGCGAGAATCGCCTCAAGGCAGTTGGCACGGAATGGATGCGGCAAGAGCATTCGTTTGCCGACATGTTGTCGATCGATGTCATCTGGGTTTCTGAGCACCACACTCCTCTCCGCTATTGTGCTGACATGATGTTCAGCGGGCATACTTTCGTCGTGACGCTTTTTGCGCTCGGCACCTACGATTTGATGCGAGCGTTTCGGTTGGAGACTCTCGGTCGTAGATTCAAGAATCCTACAACCAAAGCGCGCGTGAAGATGTTGTCGCTAAGTATTTTCGCTTGTCTTATTCTGTTCGAGCAAATAGTCGAGATCGCTTACGTGGAGCGGAGCCACTTCCACTACAGCATGGATATATTAATGGCCGTCATCCTCACGTTCCTGATATACACGAATGGCGTTATCGCGGTGTTCGCGAAGCAGTGGTCGGCTTGGGGATTATTGGTCTTCGTCAGTAGGAAGACTACTAAGAAACATGATGAGGAATGTGGTGACGACTGCCAGGACATCGATGGGCCCCTACGGGCTGGGGAAGGAAAACAAATCTTGAAGTTTGGGGAGCTCCTGACGCTCAAAGCATCAGGGGCGTCAAGGGCTCTAGGAGCCAGCTGCGCGCCGTTTGCTCATGCACAGGGAGGGGAGGAGAGGGAGGGGGAATGGGGAATGGGAGGGGAGACGAGTGAGGAAGGGCGGCAACAGGAAGTGGAGGGGAAGGAGGGACTGAGAAGCGAAGAGACGGAGGAGGAGGGGGAGCAGCAGCAGCAGCAGCAGCAGCAGGTAGAGGAGGAGTGCGTCTCCCGCTGATCGGTCTCGTGGCACGCCGTATCAATTTTGCCAGGTTCGATTTCGGCTTCCATCTCCGATGGCCAGCCCTTCCCCCCCCGCCCCCTCCCACCATTCCAGCGCGGCTGCAGAGAACACGGGGCACGTGGGCCCAGGCTCTTGCACAGCGCATGCTTCTTCAGCGGCAGAAGCTGGAGGACGAAGTGGAGGATGTGTCGGTCCCTGGATGTGGATGAGGTGGAGGTGTGGAGGTTTCTGCAGACTCAGGCCGTGTTGGTTCCTGGAGGATCATCAGAGCCGGGCGTCGGATCAAAAACGAATCCTTCGGCGGCAAGAGTTGGACGCCAGCGCGGGCCGGAGTCTGTCGCGAGCACCGCACGGGGAGCGAGCGCAGAGAGCGGCAGGTGGGCGCACGGGCGGGGCAGCGGTGCCACGGAGCCGCGGGAGCGCTGGGCAGGGCGAGGGGAGCGCCTCCGCGCCCCGGGGTGTGCGTGTGTTGTGTGTGTGTGCGTGTGTGTGTGTGTGTGTGGGGGGGTACGTGTGTGTGTGTGTGTGGGTACGTGTGTGTGTGCGTGCGTGTGCGTGTGTGCGTGTGTGTTGTGTGTTGTATGTTTTGTATGTTGTGTGTGTTGTGTGTTGTGTGATATGTGTGTGGGTTGTGTGCGTTGTGTGTTGTGTGTGTTGTGTGCTGTGCTGTGTGTGTGTTGTTTGCTGTGTGCTGTGTGTTGTGTATAGTGGTGGGTGTCTTTGTGTGTGCTGTATGTGCGCGTGGGTGTGCCAATTCGCTTTGCAGTTCGCTCTTCGGTGGCCCCGTTCAGCCCGACCGCTGGTGCAGCAATTCGGCCTCGCCGCCGAGGAAAACATGTGAATGCCAGCTCAAACCTGGAGCCAGTGGCCGGAGCGAGGGCCCGACGCTGGCCCCGGCTCTCAGGACCTGGGAGGCGGAGACACGCCGAAGAGGTGCTGCGGTGCCTCCAGGAGGGGCGGAGCTGCGGGAGGGGCCGGAGAAACCCGGAAGGCAGAGGATTGCAAAAAAACCGAAGGATTGCAAAAAAAAACCAGGATTGCAAAAAAAAAAAAAAAGGATTGCAAAAAACGAAGGATTGCAAAAAAACGAAGGATTGCAATCCTTGGTTTTTTTGCAATCCTTTTTTGCAATCCTTCGTTCGGGGGAGGGAGCCAGCGGGGCGGGGGGCGTGTCCCTGTGCCCGTGGTGGGCATCCTCGTGGGCCTCCCGGCGACCCTCCCTGGGGGCCACTGGGGACCTCTCCTCGGAGGCCTCTCTTCCTCCATCCTTTTGGGGGGCTCGTGGGGCCCCGAGGGCCCCTACGGAAGTCCTCCTGCTGCTGCCCCCATCCACTTTCCCCTCGCCCTCCCCGTTGGAAAGTGAGGTGAAGACCAATCCGCCGATCGATCAACGAATGACTGACGGCCAAGCTTCTGTCAGCACGGCGCCCTCCCCGAGATCACTTCTCCCCCACTTCCCTCAATGACACACACCTCCCCCCCTCAAAGGATTTGGGGGGGCTTGATCGCGTAGACTCGTGTTGTTCTAAGCGACGCCTTTTCGCCCCAAGGAAGACGAAGAGGTGGCGCTACATCGTATATGGAGGTGCGCTGACGAGCATCCTGAGCTCACTGCGATGACCGACCCTTTGGATCCAAAGTGGGCGCTTCTGAACTCCAAGGGGGACATATTCATTCCTCCATGCTGCGTCCCGTTCTGCTGCCTCGCTGGCCGAGAGCACGTGTACTCGGACGAGGGCGTCGAGACCCTTATTCAGATGTTCGCCGACGGTCAGAACCCCAAGCAAGACCCCAAAGTCATCCGCAAATACCTCGAAAACACGATGCTGCTCGACGATGGCGTCTCGTGGCGGGAGTTCAAGTCTGCCGTCCGCCCGTTCAACAATAACAAACCCAGTCAAAACGAGATGAGGTCCACCCGCTGAAGAGCTCGTGCAAAGGGCCCATGATGGCGATCTTGGAGCGGCACGTCCGACCACCGAGACTTGTTGCTCGTGTTTGTTGAGATCCACATCGGATGCTAGTAGCGTGCAGTAGGCGCGCTCAACGTGCACCAGGCACAGTGCAAGCGCGGCCTTCAGTTACCGCAGACGCCTCCGGCGAGTCACCGCCGCACCTTCCTTTTCGGAAGCGCTTTATGTGGCCCGACGCGGAGCCAGATGTCAATATTGTTGGTGATGATGATGATAATGATGATGATGATGATGATGATGATGATGATGATGATGATGATGATGATGATGATGATGATGGTGATGGTGATGGTGATGGTGATGGTGATGGTGATGGTGATGGTGATGGTGATGATGATGATGATGACGATGATGATGATGATGATGATGTCGGCGATGATGATGATGATGATGTTGATTATGAAGATGATGATGATGATGATAATGATGATGATGATGATGGTGGTGATGATGATGGTGCTGTTGATGATGATGATGGTGGTGGTGAATGTGGTGGTGATGATGATGATGATGATGGTGCTGATGATGATGCTGATGATGATGCTGATGATAATGATGATGATGGTAATGATGATGGTAATGATGATGGTAATGATGATGGTAATGATGATGATGATGATGATGATGATGATGATGATGATGATGATGATGATGATGATGATGATGATGTGGTGGTGGTGGTGGTGGTGGTGGTGGTGGTGGTGGTGGTGGTGGTGGTGGTGGTGATGATGGTGATGGTGATGGTGATGGTGATGGTGATGGTGATGGTGATGGTGATCACGGTGATCACGGTGATCACGGTGATCACGGTGATCACGGTGATGACGGTGATGACGGTGATGAGGATATGTGGAGGTCAGAGGCAGGGATTGGAGGAGGAGGAGGAGGAGGAGGAGGAGGAGGAGGGGGAGGGGGAGGAGGAGGAGGAGGAGGAGGAAGGATCACGCGGGGCGCTGTCTCTTCAAAACGAAAACCGCTGCGAGCATCGCGGGGCAGGTGAAATGGAGGAGGGGGGCCACCACGAGGACTGCGGCGTTAGTAGGAAAAGAACAGCGGGCAGGGGCTCGCAGGGGGATGTTTTGTTTAGCCCGAACCCCGAACGCAGCCGTTTTTGTGCCCTGTTCTTTCCCAGCTCTTTCGCCCGCCCCTGTTTCCGTTGTACGTACCGTTCCCGCCCTCCTTGCGCCACGAAACACGTGGGTTTGCCGAATCGGGTGCGGGTACGGCATACGGACCTTGCCGTTGGGGCCTTCGGTGGAGCTCCTTATGGGGCCACGAAGCGTGTGCGGTGTCTGCCGAATTGGGTGCGGGTGCACGGGCCACGAAACGTGTGAGGGGTGTGCCCAATCGGGTGCTGGTAAGCCATGCGGACCCTGCCGCTGAGGCCTTGGGTTGAGTTGCCGTCTTGATGGCATCTTGAGCGTGTTGGGGCGCTCTTGGGCGGCACTCACGGACCGCATTGGGAAATGTTTGGGGCCTTTTGGGGGGGATGTGGGTGTAGTTTGGGGCCAGCTGAGCGACAAGAGAGCTCGTGTGACACACGCGTAGACTTCCAGGAGCGCCCGGGAAACCGGGGGCCGGGGCCCTTCAGCATTTTGAGATGAATCCTTTGCACATTGGCATGTGATGAGTGCGGGGGCCTTCCGCTTCGTGCCGAATGTACGGCGGCGTAAATTGTTCTCTTAGTGGGTCGCATCCGCTTGGAGTGCAAATTGTGTAGAGCGGCTCGCCCTCGCAATCCAAAGACCGAGCGGCACGCCTATCTTTCTTGTGCAAGCCCTCGCCGATAAGAGGCTGAGCGGCGCACCTGTCTGCCTGACGGCCCCACCGACGGGTCGTGGAATGACGGGGCACTATAGTATCGATTTGGGGCGCGCTATCTGTGATGGATTCCTCATGCTCTCGTGGAGTCCGAGAGGTGATGGAGAACGGGAGATGTTCCGATACGCCGAAGGAGTGTGGCGAAGCATTGTTTTCGCGACGGTGCCCCCCTGAGTGCGTACCCAAAGAGGAGGGAGTGAGGGAGGAGGTGGAGGAGGAGGAGGAGGAGGAAGAAGAAGAAGAATAAGAGAAGGAGTATGAGGAGGAAGAGACGAGGGATGGTATGAGGCTCCCTGTGAACATTTCCTGGGGGGCTGGTGGGGTTGGGCATACGGCACCCCAGGGTTCATGATTTGCGCATTCTTGCCAAGCGACAATTTCAGTATGTTGTTCGATGCAGCGCGGCTGGAAAGAATTGCGTTCCGTTCCCCGTTTCTGTCGACGGAAGATTTGGTCTGTTTGGGTGAGCTCAGTTGTTCTTCATGCATGAAGGTTCCCCTCTACGGGAGAGGGGCGCTTGAGATACGAAAAATGTATATCCGACTCCCAGAAGGAGCAGAAATATGAGTATGATAAGGAGAAGCAGGAGAAGGAAAGGGGAGAAGAGACTAGAGGATCTGAGGAACATGGACGATCCGTACTTGGGGAGGTGGAGGAAAAGGGAGGAGGAGGTGCAGAGGGAGACCGAAAGGGAGAAGGACGATGAGGAAGAGTAACACGAGGATGGAATTCGGCGCAGCCGCCCCCTAGATAACGGGCGCGGTCGCGAATGGCGACATGAACCCCAGCCCCTCGATTGAGACGCGGTACCGCCAGCGCTTCGCAGATCCTCGACTGCAGAATCTGGTCCCGGACACAGTCGCAACGCACGTCCGTGGACGCCGCATGGACATCGCCTCACGCACCTAGCCGCATCACCGCGTTGGCGCGCAACGGCAAGGACTGCCGTTCCTCGGGCTGCAAGCGGAAACATTGCGGGGAGAGCGTCGGGGTCTTCGGGAGCCACGATTTTGACCATTACCCGGTCGTCTTCTCCCGCGCTTCAGCGGGCGCAGCGAACATCAGCGGCCGTGTTTCCCATTGCGCGTTCAGCAAGGAGCCGATGGAGTGGCACATCGCCCAGCGTGCATCGGGGCCTCACCAGGAGCTCACGACCGAGGAGCTCCGCAGGTGGTCACAACACGGAGAGGTCGCGTCCTGGATCGGGCGTGGCTCGTGCTGCCCGGGCGCGGTTACACAGGCGGCCTGCCCTGGACTCTGCGCGCGCCCACCATCCAGCCCGCGCCGCAGAGCAGCAGCGCACCCCCGGCGGAGGCCGTCGGAGCGGCGCGACGGCACGAGGCGGAGCGGTCCAGCACGGGAGCGCAGGTCCGCGCGGGGCGCGGCGTCGGGCTCGCGCAGGGGTATGGCCCTGCGGCAGCGGGGCAGTGCGTCACCACACGCTCTGTGCAGCATGGCCTGGGCCTTCCACAGGAGGAGGAGGAGGAGGAGGAGGAGGAGGAGGATGAGGAGGAGGAGGGGGAGGAGGAGGAGGAGGCAGAGGAGGAGGAGGAGGAGGAAAGAGGATAGAGGATGGAGGAGGAGGGAGGCCAGAGACTTTCGGGCGGACGCAGCGTCGACGCGCCCAGCGCTGCACGTGCGACAGAGGGGGAGTGGACGGGGGCGGAGTTCACGTCCAACCAGAGGCACCACCTCCGGCCTCAGGAGTGCCCTTGCCGGGCCCTCCTCGCCTCCCTGCGTGACCGATGGCGGCGGGACGGGACGCGAGACCATCACCCCATATGGTGGGCCTGTTTTCCACCACCGCCAACATAAGTTGGAGGGGGGAAGGAGGAGGAGGAGGAGGAGGAGGAGGAGGAGGAGGAGGAGGAGGACCCCCTCCCCTCCTGCTTATGGTGGTGGTGGTGGAAAACAAGCCCACCACCATACACCGCGGATGGCCTCCGAGAGGCCCGCGGCAGGGTACAGATCGGGAAGGCGAGCGCAGGGCTGCCCCGTGCCTGCCTCGAGGTGGCCACGTCCAGGTGGCAGCGGGGAGCCCCTCTTGGCCGTGCAGAGCTTCCCCTGGCTCCTCCTGGCGATCCCCGGGCAACGAAGGGATCGGCCGACGCTCCGCGAGCGGAGGCAGGGGAGACCGCAGCAGAAGTTCGCCAGGCACCGGCCCCTGAGCATCCGCACGGCTGAGCGCAGCGTGGCGGACGGGTTCTGGGCACTGCGCCACGAAGAATCACTCTGGAGACAGCCAGCTGTGGCAGCGGGCCTCCCTCATCGCGGCCCTCCTCGGCGTCGAGGTGCGGCTCAGCCGCGCGGACCTCGGCCTCCCCATCGCCGAGGCCTGCGCGGACCTCGCCCGGGCCTTCGACACCGTCCGCGCCCCAGCAGCGGCACCGGCCACCAGCGAAGAAGACCCCGTGCTGGCGGCGCAGACCGCCGGAGGGCCTCAGGGTCCGAGCGGCTTCGGGCGCGGCGCAGGCCGCCGCCGTCCTGCTCGCGGACGGCATGCCGGAGGGCGGGCGCTTGGCACCGGGGTTCTGCGTCGCGGCGGCCAGGGCTTGCGGCCGCCGAGCCGGAGTGTGGCGGCGCCGAGCTCCACCCCCCCAACCGAGTCGATTGCACGTGAGAGCGACCCTTCGCTGGAGTGACCGTTGGTGCGGGCTCACCGGGGGCCTCCCGATCGGTGAGCGCGATGCGATAGTGGCTGCTTGCGTGCTTGGAGTTGGCGACCCTGCGCCCCCTCAATGAATCCGCGCACTAAAGGTCACTTTTGCCTGATTAGGTCCACTCTTGTGTGTAGCCGAGCGAGGCGATCGCGGCCCGCACGGGCACTGACGAAGCCCCCCCCTCCGTTTGGGGAGTGGCGCAGGCAGACGGCCCGCAGATGCCGCCAAGGCCGCCAGACCTGGAAGGACGCCATGCGCGAGGCACCTTCCCGCGCGGAGCAGGGCTGCCTCCTGGACATGGCCTCCACCGTGCCGGACAAGGCACACTCGAGTGACTTTTCGCCCCAGTGCTCTCTGGTGCGGGCCCCACGGGGTCCCCTCATCGCTGGACGCGATGCGGCAGTGGCGTCCTGCGCGCTTGCATTTGGGCCCCCCGCGGCCCCCCAAAAGCCGCGCACCAAAGGGTACTCT